GCGCCGGGCGCCCGCGGCGCGCGCGCACGTCCACAGCGGCAGCGCCGGCAGCCGCGCGCCGAAGCCCGCCAGCCCCGCCAGCGCCGCCAGCGCCGTCTCGCGGCTGCCCGTCTGCCAGTCCGCAGCCGGGAACGGAGACCAAAACTCATTTCACGCGCCTCTAAACTGTTCTGCCGCCAGCTCCGAATTCGAAACAGTTGACGGGTGTCGTCAATTGTTTCGCTTCGAATCGACCAGTTCACTTGAGCTTTCTACAATGGACGAGAATTGTAAAATTACATATTTCATTACCGACGAAATGTGATTCCGTTTGTTTTGTAATTAAATATTTTCGTGTCTTCCCATACCACAGCCCCCGTTGTTACAGATAGTATCTTTATTACAATAAATACAGAATATTTTTGAAATATACGGAGACGTACACACAGTTAATATTTAAAAATGATACAAGGCTCATTCACACGATGAGTTGCCAGGAATGGACGGTCCTTCTATTTCTGGTTGTAAACTTTATGACCCTGACTAATAAAACATATAAGTTAATACTTAAGTTACTCCAAAATAGATACCTATGTAGAACTAAGAATAGTCTGTAACGATAGAGCTAGCATTACCATTAAGCGATAAAAACTCTGGCTAAATATAAAATTTAAAAAAAAGTTGAATACATAACGTTGCCTTCGATAGCACTTCTACCGAAGACGCGGGCTAGCCGAATCAATCACACGATAATAAAAAGAAATAATAAAAGGGTCCCAAAGACGTCAAATTACTTACCGCATTCACTTTCGAATGGTCGTTCGCGGTGATAGGTTCAGGTATTTTATAAAAAGTCTGAGAAAGAGCTAAGAAAACATTACTTGTCAAAAAAAAAATCAAAAACTTTAGAATAACACTATTCATGAAAACCGGAACTAAAGAGAAAGTAACATAAAAGTATGTAAAAGTTAGTTTTTCTACAATGAACCGGCCAGGAAACGAATTCGGAACCTCAGAAGTGGCTAGTTATTCGATCACGGAGGTTTGTTAACTTTATGTATACACACACACACACAACTGCGGAACAAAAAAGGAATAACATAAAATAGTAACGTATATATAGTTTTTTTTTAATGGGACAGTATGGGGGAATCGTAAACCCTATGGTTTAAAGATAAAAACAAACTGTACCATCAAGTTTTTTGTGTGAAAACATTTTAGCGTAGTCAATATTTTGTCAAGCGTGAGTTGTCCATAAAAATTAATAAAATTGATATTTTTTTTACTACTGATCCAGTCAGTTTTACCCAAGGATCATTTCGTTGTATAGGACAAAAAAATCGGGTCAGCAGAAGTTGGTCAAATTTTAATTAAAATTCATATAAAACGAATAATACGAAAAAAAAGAAAAAAATTACGGCCACACTTTTGAAAAAACTGCATTATTTTTGGGTATTTTATTAATGTTCCGTTAAATCCGGTGTGTGTACGAGCCTTAATTTATAAAAGTATTGCAAAGGATACGACAGTCGGCAATCCAGGTACTCCGAACCAAGGTCCAGGAGTCAGCGTCAGTGAATCAGCTATACTGAAACTCTATAAGAATATTAACGAACATTAACAACTTGTTTAAGAATATTCGAACATAAGAATACATAAAAACAGTAAATAGAATTTTTACTTAAAAAACCGCGTAACATTGCTTAATACCAGGTGAATTTCGAGGTCAAGTCTTTTATTTACATTAAAAAATATATATTTATTGTAGTTTACAAAGTAAAGGTTACCATTTACATCTACAGGATAAGCCATCAATTAAAAAAATACGTTTTCATAATCGTCATGGTGCTGTTGAGTGCAGTTATTTTTATTTATCTTATTTTATTTACTGTTTTTCATATTTTAGGAAAATATACCAACTAATTACATTTATAGTTATTAACCAAATGCCAATAATGAATTTCCACATTTAGCAAACAACAAAGAAAAACTTCGTTCTAAACTTTCGTTCCGTGGCTTAGTTGGTATAGCGTCTGGCACGGTATGCAAGAAGACGTCGGTTCGAATCCGTCATAATCATACTACGAAAATTTTCACGAGTTCAGTCCATGGTGATGTAGACAACCAATTTCTAAAATGACGCCACAATGTAAAAAAGGAAGTGACAGTCAGATGAAACAAACTGTATTCTACAGCCAAAGAGTTCCATTTTCAAACGTTGTAATTAGTTTTTAAATATTGTTTATGTAAGTGGCCAGTTCTGGAAACTTATAGTGCGCCCTATGTTTATACTAATTGTTTATTTATATCTCATAGTTTCTTGCCTGATCCCTATTTTTTCTCTCTTCACCTTCCTAATCCAGTTTTCAAATTTTATTATTATGATGTTACAAGTTCCCCGTTTCAAAAACAAGTGGCCGAAACGCTAACCGCGAAAAGTCAAGAAAAAATAAATTAAATTCAGAGTGATTTAGTGATATTTTTTTTACTTTTTATTAATTGCGGACAAGTGGGCCTTGACCCTAACTCACCTGTTCCCTCCCAATAACAGCAGGCAACGCCAACGCGTGTCCTCTAACGTGCAGATGTAAATTTCTCTTACTGCAAACAGCACCTAACTCCCTAAGAGGTGACCCGCAACCTAAAGGAGGGGCTCCCACCTCCCCTAAAACTAGAAGTGGTATGCGATTGGCTAATACATCTTCTTCGCATAACCTTTCTAACGCTTCTATGTCCATGCCTCGACCTGAAAATTAAAAACAATTATCTTTACACTTAAAATAGGCAGATTGTTAAAAGCGTCCGTATCGTGAAGATTCGAAAATCAGACAAGTGTAAGCTCTTGCAATCAATCTGCGTCGAGCAAAGGGACGAGGCTGACAGTTGTAAAATTGAGTAATTATATGCAAACTTCAAGACAACTGCCGTCGAATGTATTAAAAAAATGCACAAATTACCGTGTATATTAAACACAGAGAATCACATACCACGCGTAAGCTAGCAAAAATAATTACATTATTGTTATATTTGGATTCTTTTTCTGTTTATTGTAATAAATAACATCTAGTTCTTAGGTTTTCGCGATTTCGCGGGCCCTTTACAGGTGCCATGGTCACGGTTGACTGTAAAGGGCCCGAAACGTCGGTTTGTTCGAAAAAAACAAATATACGCGATTTAAATCCGGAAAAATAGGTTCATTTCCTATAAACAACATTGCTAATTAAATATAGAGATAGTACCTACACTATTTCTATAGCGTCGTAGCGAGTGTGATAAGGATACATGCACTCTGGTCATAGACTGATTATAAGTGCAGACACGTACATTGTAGGCAGTAAAGTCATCAATTACTTTTAACTATTGACCAAATATTTTAAATCTGATTAAATATTAGGTGATAGGGCGGCAATCGTAAATAATCTTAATTTGTCATTAACGTTGACTGTTAATTAAATTTTTATTGAATTGATATTCAATTATTTTTTGTGAAATTACTCCACTAGTTTGTTATAATTATTAATACAAAGATCGAACACTCAGAAAAAATTCCTTCGATCCGGTCTGATTCGAACCGACGTCTTCTTGCATACCGTGCCAGACGCTGTACCAACTAAGCCACGGAACGGAATTTTTTCTGAGTGTTCGATATTTGTATTAATAATTATAACAAACGTTGACTGTTGTTTGTTTTCACCTTTCAACCGATTTCAAAAAACACTTTTTATAATATCAAGAGACGGGATGAACAAGTCGTGCGCCTGATGGTAAGCTACACGCCTGTCGATAACAGTTGCAGTGCCACTCAGAGTTTTAAATCGCAAAGATCTTAGGGCTGCTTGGATGCTTGCTGCCACTGCGCCCAACACCCTGAGACATAAGTTGACAAGTCCTATGTGCCTGTAATTTCACCAGCACCCTTACCCTTCAAAACCGGAGCACAGTAGCGCTGACATTACTGCTTGGCGGCAGAAGGTAAGGTGGCGCGGTTACTCTCTACTGCTTCTAAAATGTATTTAACGTACTAACTAATATGTAGGCTTAGAATAATAACGCATAGTAACCTAGTCCGCACACGCTAAGTGAGGTAAACTGAAGCGCTCCCAATGGGCCTACACGAGCGGGCGGGCCTTCAGTGCTCAAGGTTAACTTGCACCGCGAACAGCTCAAGAATTTTAGCTAAAAATGACGAAATGTGCGGTAAATGAGTGTAAAAATACGTCAGACAAACATAGAATAGATACTAACATCACATTCCACAAGGAAGTAACGCATTTCAACTTGTATTCTTATATAAATATTCACTAAAACCGAAAATTAACCTACTACTAAAACTAGCCTACATGAATTTGATTTTTGCCTCATTTGTGACAGTTCGTTTGATATGAAACTATCATTCTATGCGTTATTATTCTAAGTATGTATGTATGTAACGAACAAAGCGCAAGCGAATAAGAAAACTTTTGAGAGCGGTTTTTTTATATATAAAAAAATTATCATTATTATTCAAAACATGATAAGCCTCGTTTTTACTGATAGTATGTGCAAAGAAAACGAAAATTCACGTAAGCAATTTCAAGCTCTCGCTAAGAGTATTGTACCTGGTGCCTAATTGTAATCGGCGCGTTTTTGTCATTTTTTATTTCACTAGTAATTTTTGATGCTATAAATGTCTAAGTTGCAGAGTCAAACAAACTAATAATGTTAGAATAAAAGTAAAGTTTAACAGTCAATGTTCGAACTCTTATATTTTTTCTCATCTCACCAAACACGTCCACCGTTTATGAACTCGTAAAATTAATCATCTAAACCTACGCAGGTCGCACATTCACTCTAATATGTTTCCACATTTACAAGCACTTCGCATATCACTTGCACTTTCACACACATCACAAACAATTACACACACATCACATGCACTTTCGCACACATCACACGCACTTCGACATACATCACATGCACTCAATCATCACACACACTCTCACACACTTACAATTTAATTTTTATTCTTATATTTATATATATATACATATATATTTATAGTTTTTTATTATTATTATTATTATTATTTTTGTTATCACTCTTTTTTCCAATTAAGTATACATGTAACTTGTTAATATAGATTTATAAATATTGATCAGAATTTCTGGAGGTGGAGGCCTGGTGACCTAAAATACAAGGTATCCTAGTTTAGGCTCCAGCCTCTACAAATTTTCCTGTCATGTTTTTTATTTTAATATCTCTTATGTTTACTTAAGTTGTTACAAATTTGTGGAGGAAATAAAGAATTTACTTACTTACTTACTTACCTGACAGCGACTGTAATATACGACGTCTAACAATGATCTTATGATATGGTACGTAAAAAAACGGTCATTGACGCCTAAACATATAACAACAATAATAAATTTCAATAATAAATAAATGTTAATTATAAACTATAAAGTTATACTGTAATCTAATTAAATTCAAACTTTCAAGTGACATAATTCTACTCATAATATGACGTATTTCTTTATTATTATATGACATTTTTTTAAATATTATTATTTGATAAATAACAATTTTAATTAAAAATTGAAACCTCGGCCTACCTCTGCTGTTATTGTTATCCCTAATAAAGGGCTCATATGTGTAGCATTATTTTAAATTTAAGACATGTATACCATATGAATGCAATAAATATATTGAGTATTGAGTATTGAATATTGAAACATAGGCATAGGAAATCTGGCACAGGACTGTAAGCTCATAATTTACTACATTGATTCGATTCACAGGAGAATTGGTACCCAAATTAATTCTCCTAGGTTATATTTTAAAAATGTGAGACCATACATTGGGTATTTTCTTAATAGCCCCGCATTGGGGAAACCCTGTGTCGCGGGTCCCAAAATAATTCTCCCCGCCCGGGAATCGTACCCGGGGCATCTGCGTGTCAGGCCAGCATGTTAACCGTTCGCCCACAGAGGCTGTTTAGTATTTTAAACTTTAACAACATATGTACTCGAATACATAATGGCGAGAAACAATACATCTAAAAATGAACCACGATAAATATCAAGGTACTTGATCTATTATGAATCATAATGATTTTCACGCTCACATATAAACAAAACGGATATGAGTCAACGCTTACTGTTGTTCTCCTTGATTACTGACAAATGGTAGTAAATTGCCAGAAATGTTTACAAGCAACATTTCTGGCAATTTTTGTTTTAAGAAAATTTTAAACTGATTGTTAACGTCTTCGGTGTGTTACGGTTGATATTCAAAATTTGCCACTAACGAGATTTAAAAGTACAATGAAATTAAAACTTTATACAAAACGTATACAGCTTCTGAATGACTCAGCAGAACCAAGTTTAGAAATTATTTTTCTCTAAATCGGTTCTCGTCTGGGTGTTCATAGTACTACTCTAGTAAACTATGTGAGATCAAGTAACTTGTGTGTTTGCCTGGCTGCTTTAAACATTCTTACCTGAAGGGTGCACGGGTACAGGCCTGACACAGGCGAGCGGCAGACCCAGCTGCCGGCACAGGTGTTGTACGACACCAAGCGGACTGGCCACGCAGCTGTAGATGCATGGCAGGCGGTTTGTAAATGCTAGAGCTGGAATTTAATTCGGGTTAGTTAAATATATATAATTATAGAAAAAAAAACTTCAAAATAACATAGTAATTGCAATTATATGAAACAAATTAAACAGAACATGTCAATAGGGTACATAGATCTGCAGACTATGAGAATATATAGCTATGGCCCTCGCTGTTGTTATAGCCTAGCTCACCACGGAAAAGAACATCAAGTAAAGTAATATATTATGATATAAACAATATGCGTAATAAATGCTTTTTCATCTCACTAGCTCTGAAACGCTTTCATTCTCATTAGGAATCTGCGCGCAAAAGCGTTTTTTACACGTTGGCGTGGAAAAGGTTTTTGAAATCCGAACTTGACGATGGACTGTGGTGCACCTAACTTTTTCTTTCGATGAAACAATAACCTAACCTCAGTATAGAGTACTAAAAAAACCGACCTGAAAAGTCATTCATCTCCTAGTTTACCAACCTTAGAGGTCGAATATTTTCTTCAAATTTAAATAGAACCAATACTGAGGTACCCTCTTTTACAACAAAAAACGAATCATCAAAATCGGTTCACAAATGGCGGAGTTATCGCGTAAAATACACACAAAAAAACATACAGTCGAATTGAGAACGAAGAACGTCGAAGAAGTAAAATAATTTCAATATACACTTAATCACACAAAATTATAAGTACAAGCAACAATAAAAATTTATGAGGTGTAAATTCAGAAGGCACCGAAAAAGCTGATGTTTTATAGTTCAATTGTTTTTCTTTCATCTACCATTTTCCTCGCTATAGTGAACACCTCGAGTCAAACAACAACTTTGCAGCCTTGCATAACAAATAACTATATCGTCATCATAATTAAGTCCATGGAATTGCAAATTTTGCGCGAGCAAATTGCGAAACTGTGGAAATAAAAAGAAATACTGCTCCACTTCGATAGGGAGGTAGTTAGAAGTTAATATTCGACATTTTAACACTAAATAAATTGCATTGACACAAATAACCACAACGCAATTTTTAATTAAAATTAATAATGCTAACAATCGTAATGAAAAATTAGCCAGATTAAATATTTACAGGCATATTGTGGACGTAGAAAGTGCCAAAAGGGCCGTTACTACACACGCTTTGAGACTCATTATTCACTAACGAGAGATTGTTTGTGGTTTTAACAACCAAGGCCACACCAAGGCCACAAAGTTTTTGTGCTTTTTTGAAATGTCAGGTATTTCGTTCACAAGATCTATCCTATGTTACCACAGACACTTATAACTAATTACTGTTTAAAAAGATGTTAAAAAGTATTAGTTTATTATTACTGATACAAAGATCGAACATAGACAAAGAAAAACCTTAAATCCGGCGGGACTCGAAACAGCGACTATTTACCAAACCAGGGCTACCAAGTCAGCAAACCTTCCAAATTTCAGATCAGTGGATCTTCTCTCGTTTTCGTTCGACATTTGATCCTAAACAATGACTGTCAAATAAATAATACTCGACCAAATGAAAAGAGATTTGAGTGGTCTTAGAAGGTCTTCCGAACATCGGGGGTTAGAGTTCCTCAGGGTTCTGGGGGCCTACAATGAGCTTATAAGCAACCAGCCAAGTTCCATGCAATTCACTTAACGTGGTAAAACTGAATTGCTTAAATTCGTATCATGACCTACACAAAGTTGTATGGGAATGGCATGACAGGATGATGAGTTTTACTTTTTAAACGTTAATTATTGTCTCTGGCTGGCTGCCTGACATCTAACAAGAGCGAGATGGGACTACATACTAAATCATATGAAACAAAAAGGGGGACATGTACTATCCTGGGAGCGTTCAAGCAGTATTAACCGATTGTGTTTAAAATGAGAATAATTATATTTTTTTATTAATTATTGATTATACTTGAAATTTCTTAAAAACGTAACAAAATCTAAAAAAAGGTAGTCACGGAGTAACTTTTTTGAATTCCTTATTTTTACAGATGAGACCGCCATTGGCACGGCAAATGGCACGTCAAGATTCATGATACGATTTTGCTATGAAAGAAAAGGTGAACGGATTTCGAACGGGGAACGTAAATTGCATGGACAGTGAATTGTTTTTCTGAGGTCCTAGTACGAATTTGACAGGCAATCCAACTTACAGGCTTAAATAGAATTGCTCTAAGAGCTCATTAGTAGGCCCCCTGTACTGTCCGTAACCCTCTTTTCGCTGCATATAAATGATATGTTGATTCCAGGCACCTTTGGGTATGCTGATGACAGCACAGTTGTGGACACGTACTTGACCAATGCAAGGGTCAGTGGAGAAGAAATCCAGTCTTATTGAGAGTCCATGGTTAGTCGTTTGAATTTGACAGTCAAGGCAGTCTCCGATGGGGGCAATGCTAATCTTGTCAAAAATGCTACCAAAACAGGCGTGTCTTTTCTCCACTAAACGGAGTCTCTTTCACCTGACTCTTGACTTTTCGTGATATATCCATACCGATAGCTATTGTCTTCACCAACTTGGAATGGACCTGTCGTCCAATCTGAACTTGCGCAGATACATTGAATCCAAGGCCAAAAATGCAGCTAGGAAGCTAAGAATCCTTTCCAAGGTCAGGCGTTACTTCACATCGGGACAGTTGCTTCAGCTGTACCAAGCACAAGTCCGGTCGTGTATGGAGTACTGCTGACACTTATGGTATGGCTCTGCTAAATACCAATTAGCCACCTTGGATTCAATAGACAAGCGTGATAAGAGGGTTATAGGTGACTCGGAATTAGTGGAGGCGAAGCTGCAGAGCCTTGAACACCGCCGTTGAGTTGCCAGCTTATCGGTATTCTACATGGTATTTCACGGAGAGTGTGCGATGGAATTGCATAATTTGATTCCGCCTTCCACTTTCCATCATTGGGCGGCTAGACGTGGGCTGGGGTTCCACCCCTATGTTGTGGATATTCCCCGGATTCGCACGAAGCGTTTCGCTTTCACATTTATGGAGTGGAATTCTCTGCCTGCAGACTTGCTCCCCGTACGCTATATCTTGAACCTTTTCAAAGCGAGAGTGAATTGCATTGACTTACAAATAAATGCACAACGGGTCTAATACAAAAACCACGAAAAAATGTCCCAAGTCAACCTATTTACACGTAGTGACATGTCAAGGAATATGAAAAGGCTAAAACGTTGAATTTAAATTGTAATGTCATCGCAGTACTGTCTAATTTTGCTTGCTTCGCTTTCAGTCGAACAAACGAAGACTAGAGCGTGAATGACGCTCTGTATACGATTTTAACGCCCTATAAGTTCGGACATTTTTTAGCGCGGACCCGAAGTCCATGGTGAATAGGCATTATTTAGATGTGCATGCTACATCCTCGACCTCATCGTCACTTTCCATCACGTGAGATGGAGGTCAAATGCCGACTTATTTTTAAAAAAAAAGACAACGTCAAGTATGAAGCTTCGTTCGCATCATGCGTCTTATAATGTAGTCGAATACTTTGACAGTTACTTGTTTCGGACGTATGTCGGACGGAGACCGGAAGTGGGGTACCACAGGGGGGTGATTCACGTAATCAAACCGTTACTATATCGTACCGATTTAGTTGTTGAACTGCTTTTTGGCTGTCTTAACTGTGGTTATGGCGTGTTCTGGTATATGAATCGAACTTAAATCGACAACAAGTCATACGTATTCTATGCGTATATTATGCGACGTTCGACGACTAAATGTCAAATTTCACAATCCAAGATGTCGCTCATTAGCCGTTACGTTTCGATTCTACTCATATCAACGTTCGTTCAGGTGATACGTGAATTTTTGGATAGGACTTCGATCGAACAACTACGTCACTTCAACGATATTTTGATAGCTTGAAATTACGCAAATCGCACTGCTGTTTTAGAGTTTAAAAATCTTTTTACGTTGCAAAGAGATGATTTACACACTTCACATTACTACACACGGTCCGTGTTGTGGTTATTTCAAAGTGGAACATACCTCCATCCTCCAAGTATCGCGGGTATCTGTGATGGAGTAGCATTCTGGTGACTCTAACCAGCCCTTCCAGCTGCTCTTGGTGGTAATATGCATTGTAGTCTGTTAATCTATAACAAATATAATAATAATAAATTACGGGCGAACAAGTTGTGCATTTAGTGGTAATCGAATTTTGTAGCAGTAAACTCATGTGAAAGGGTTAGTCCAGGGAAGTCCTGTCACCTTACCTATTTCTGCCACCAAGCAGTAATGTGAGCATTGCTGCGTTCCGGTTTTGAAGGGTAAGGGTGCTGGTGAAATTACAGGCACATGGGACTTTTCTACTTATGACTCAGGGTGACGGGCGCAGTGGCAGTCATTCCATTACTTTATTATTATTATTACTGATAGAAAGATCGAACAAATACAAAGACAAAGACTGCCTCCATGGCCGAACGGTTACCATGCCGGACTGCCACGCAGAGGTCCCAGGTTCGAATCCCGGGTTGGGAGAAATGTTTGTATGGCTTACATTTATTTATCTCGTGAGTTTGGGTGTAATTTGTGGTTGTCTATGTGTGTGTCCATGGCACCCGCGACGCAGGGTTTCCCTAGTGCGGGGCTATGTTGGGTGTGTGCGTTATTTATTTATTTATATTCCTCCGATCAACTACTCTAACCAGCGTCTGTTGCGTCAACGTAGCTACGAGGCAACAGAACAGCATATTACAAGTACGCATAAGAGATTACGACAACGTACTTTAACGTACTGTGAGTCGCGAACCAGTAGCAATGTAAACATTATCAGTAGAGCTTGCGGGATTACAGTTATGCCTACTGTGTACGTACAAATTTCTTATCAGAAAACTGAATATTAAAACACGCATAAAAATGTTGTAAGGAGCGTAAAATTGTTTGTATAGGCCTAAAAATGCCGTGACAATTCTTACTTGTATTGAAATAACAAAGGGGCAGGCGGACGCACAATTTACCTGGTCTTTAATTATGGAATTCCCTGTACGTTTAATAATGACTAACAGGAAGGAAATTAATTGAGAAAGTTTCCCTCTCTATACCATGAATCGAACTCGTGATTTTCTTTGGAGCCCAAAATGCTAATCGCAATGTCAGCGAGATCTTTGAGTTGTCAAAACGACTTCATAATCGAGATTCTCGTAATGAAATCGTATTTAATATTAAATAATACGATTATGTACTTTGTGACTTTTTAGCAAACAACTTGGTGCACATTTATGTTTATGTTCTTAAGCACTAAATACTGACTCTCTCTCTTTAGTCTGTATTTAACTCAGTCCTATCCAATAACTCAGCTTATATTAAATGTTTGTTTCTTCAGCACTAAATAGTGTTGAAGGCTTTATAGTTTCAAGTCTGTATAGCTTCAACATTGGCACACTAATCCAGTGTCTATTCCAAATGTTTCTTTTTATAATATTATAATGCCATCACTAAAAATATACGGAGTTCATCTTAGGTTATAAAATAATCAGCGACAAATACACTCTCTTTGGCCTGAGTTTTCGGCAGTCCGACTTCACCCACTGCAGATATTGGCCTTCCGTAGTTCTTCAAACTTGCACTAGACTCATCTACGTTCCTCCACTTTGACGATATGATCTGCCCATTTCGCTGTAGGACGTCACACGTTTCAGTATACTCAATTCTTGGCGACCACTCTGTTATTACAATCACTTATTGCACGTTAAATGTTTACGATATTTTTCAGCATTAAACACATTGTCCTGTGTTTTTAATCGCACAAGCAAAAGGTCCGGACGCGAATATCGTGATTAACTATTACTTGAACTTTAAAAACGTCGCTCTTAACAACTTTTAACAGCAGTAGAGCTCCTTGTGAAAGAGTTCGTCGAGGGAAGTAGGTACTGCCTTACCTATTTCTGCCGCCAAGCAGTAATGTGAGCATTAGGTACTGCGTTCCGGTTCAGAAGGGTAAGGATGCTTGTGAAATTTGGTGAAGTTACAAGCACATGGGAGTTGTCAACTTATGTCTCAGAATGACGGGCGCAGGGGCAGTACTCGTACGATTTTTGTGATTTAAATTTCTCCACCAGGCGTACGACTTGTTCGTCCCGTCATTCGGTATTATAAAAAAAGTTTCAACTCGTATAAAATTAAACTAAAGACAAGACTACATGGCATTGATTAGCTCCAGCTGCTAAGTATAACAATAACCGAGTTTTATGCTATGTAACCGATAACCGACTAACCGAGTTTTGTAGCAATTTCTTTAGCTAAACGGTTGACGATCTTAACAATGGCGAACTACGGCCTAAGCTCTCTCAGTGGCAAAAATTTAATTGAAAGTGGCAATAATTGAGTTCTTCTACATATCTAAAATATGTACAGCAATTAATATGGCCATGTTGTGATAAAATAAAAAGAAGAAACTATTTTTTGTTCGATAGAATGCGAAATGAGCAACTGAAAAACAAATATTATAATAACAACTGTGTGCTACAATTGCGAACAAACATATTCAATAACAGCGTCGTCACATGCCGAGTTTCAATGTTAAGTTTATTAATATAACATTAATTGCACTACATAAATTCAAAACGAAATAATTTCATAATGACATATTCATTCTTGTAAAAAGTAACAATACAATTATCTTTTGGAATGGAATAATAGGAAAACGGCACATAGTTTCAGTGCTAAATTGACATTTATAAAGTTTAAACTAACCTGCTGTTAATTTAACAACACGATAAATCTTATCCACTGTTAATTAGCTGCCGAGGTAGTGATAAGAACGCCATAAATTTATATCAGTTTGTCACGATACGTGTGGCGTTATCCTGTTGCGTATTCTGTTATCACACAAAATGGTTATGTATTTTCGTCTGGTACCGACTTTACAGGATAACAGCTTGGTGCTTGGATAAATTACATACCAAAATTTACTTACAATTCTATATTATAACATATTGCAGAAGAATGGGACGGAAATACACTTCCGTGGCACTTGAGCTACCTGTCCAAGTTCGTTCAGGGGAAGTACTGCTACGTAATGCGAGCATTACTGCATTCCGGTTTTAAAGGGTAAGGAAGCTGGTGTAACTACAGGCACATAGGATTACTTTAGAGTTTTCTCAGAATTACGGGTGTAGTGGCAGTGCCTGCCAGATCTTTGTGGTGGAGCCTTAAGCTCTGACTGTCACTGCAATCGTTATGGGTAGGCGTGTCGCTTACTAATAATTTATACGACTTGTTCGTCCTGTCACTTAGCGTCATAAAAAATAAGTGAGTCTAGACAGCATGCAATAATGTTGTGTGTGATATTTCATTGGCCATGGTTATATTTTTGTACTTTAGAAGGACGAGAAATATTTATTCTAATTTTTATGATAGGTAAATAAAGTAACATCGAGTTCTTAGGTTTTCCCGATTGTTACACATAGGATATGAAGCCATGTGACATAAATTTGACCAGTCAGCTGTGACCATGAGATCTATAAAGGGCTCGAAACGTGGGTTTGTTTGAAAAAAACATATATAAGCAATTTAAATCTAAAAAAATAGGTTTATTTCCTATAACTAGGTCAAAATTGAATCAGTCATTCCTTTACTAGTGTTCATTACCTAATTCTGCAGCCCACTAACTCTACTATTCGATTTTTTATCGTACAAAATTATTTAATACTCGAGTGACGTATCGTGAAAATTATTTAATAATTACATGATAATATACTTGAATATTGAAATAACAAAAATTGCCACGGAAATGTGAAAACTAGTCCGTGAATGACCGTAATAACATATGGATTTCACGTTGCGTTTAAATACTTTTTTTTTAATCTATTATACCTAATGTCATTTGGTATTTAGATCGGAGTGATATCGGTGTGGCACATATTTTTCAAGTATTTAAAATAAACACTAGAACAATGTTTTAATCAACATTTGGATTCTTTTTCAACGTTTTTTACACTTCAACTTGTACTTTAGCACGCATTGTTACTAAATATAATCAAGTAAAAGAATGTTTGTAAAAACTACATTCACATAAAAATAAATTA